GTCCCAGATTTCAAGTTATACTACAAAGCTGCAGTGATAAAAACAGAATGGTATTGGCAAAAAACCAAACTTGCGGATCAATGAAACAACAGAAGATACAGAACCAAGTCTAGGCACACTCAACTATATTATCTTTAACAAAGGGGCCAAATCCTTTCACTGGAGAAAAGATAGCCTCTTTAACAAATGGTGCTAAGAAAACTGGCTATCTACAGGCCAAAGGTTGAACCTAGACCTATATCTCTCACCATGCACTAAACTAAAATCAAAATGGATCAAAGATCTAAATATTAGAATAGCAAAACTTAATCTGCTGGAAGACAAAATAAGTAAAACTCTTGCAGATAAAAGTGTAGGCAGACTTTCTGAACAAAACCCAGTTGCACAAAAATTAATTCCAAGAATCAACAAATGGGAACACATCAAATTAAAAAGCTCTGCACAGCAAAGAAAACCACCAACAAATTGAAGAGACAACCTACAAAATGGGAAAAAAAAATTCCCAGCTATTCCTCAGACAAAGGATTATATTGAGAATTTGTCTCAAATTTGTATTCTATTTTTCTTTACTTTCTAAAACAGTAATTATTGTGAATGTCATTTCTTCCAACCTTTAACGTTAATAATTTTTCCTCTTATCTTTTATTCTGATTTTTTGTCAGATTTGAGAGACTAATTCCAAACAGACATATCAAGGATTTAAAATGGAAAAACTAAACAATATAATGTTTATTGGTGCTTCCTTTTATGATTCTAAAAGTTGCAGTATCACATAGAATTGATCAACAACGAAACAAGCAGAAACTAAGAATGGTCCTGCTCTACAGAGCAAATCAGCAACTCCACTGGCCAGCTTTCCTGTTGCTAACATACACAAGTTTAAGGAGGGAATGGCTTATTTTTCTTAGGGTTTCAGAGGCTTCAGTTTATGGTTGGGTAGCTCTTAAAGCATGAACATCATGACAGGGCTCCTCATTTCATGGCTTTCAGAAAGCAGAGCACAGAGTCAGAGAACCAGGCAGAGATACACCCTCCAAAGCCATGACCCCAGTGACCCAACTCCGACTGGGCCTCAACTCCTACCAGCATATTCAGCAATGAATATGGTGGATGAATCCACCATCAATGAGTATAGCACCCGAAAGATCCAATCACTTCTTCAGAAGTCTATTAATACACTCAAATTGACAATTAAGATTAACTGGCACAGCAAGTCTGATTAAACAGCTAATAAACTTCCCACTCAAACATATTAATCATGGGTATACAATTACCTTGAGTAGAGTATTTTGTAAGATGTTCTGAGTGTTAGACAATATAGCAAAGATACAATAAATTATATTAATAAAAGCCATAACTTCAAAACTAAACAATTGAAACAAACTACAGATCTTCTATGCTACAGTTACTATATAAATGCTTACAAAAACCCAATATCTATAATCAAAATACTGTTAAAGGAAACATAGGAAAACACTAATTTTTTTTCTCTGAGTGGTTATATCACAAAGTAAGAATAGAAACCTCAGAATCAGGCTACCAAATTTTAAATTTAAACTTTGCCATCTACTAATTGTAAGAATTCAAGTAAGTTAAATAGTTCTAAATCTTACAGTTTGTATAATAGGGACTATACCCTCAGCAAACGGTTGAGATTCACTGCTATGGTTCATCCTTACAGGTTCATGTGCTGGAGGACTGGGGCCCAACACAGTGGTACTGGGGTGGTGGAGGCTTTAAGAGGTGCAGACTAGTGGAAGGATATGAAGTCATGGGGTACTACCTTCACAGGTCTTAGCCCAGACACATGGACATGGATTAGTCCCTGAGAAAACTGGTTGTTACATGGGAGCCTGGAAGGTCTCCTGAGTCCTCTTCCACATGTACCACATCACCTGCCTCTTCCAACTTTGACTCGTATGGTTCTTCTATTGATTCTGTGAGCCACTCAATTAATATGACTTTTCCTTTAGTTTCCATTACTTTAAACCATATAACTTGAAGTAATATAACACCTTTGGGTGCATGCAATGGACAAATGAGGAAAAATTCTCAAGGGTAAAATTCAACTGTTGAACTAGCTTTAAAATGCAACCTCAGAGCATTTTACAGTTTTCAAAGCACTTTTACTTAATTTGACTACTGCACGAATCCATACTATAAATAAGAGGTCTGACATACTGTCTCCAAACAAAGGGCTAGACTAAAAGCCAGATCTGCTCAAAAACTTTTTTATTACTACGTTACGTGATTTGGAAACAATAAATTTCAAATGCTAATTTACCTAAATTCAGGAATGTAAATGAAAATTTAGTAGCACCAAATTCTAGAAAGACAAATTATCTATGAGAATTTATTGTTTAAAAAAAGCACATCATTTGATTAATTAGGAAATGACACTGGATAATTACATGACTTATATGATAGAAATTCTGCCTAAAGTGAAAATAACGCAAATTCCTAGTATATCAGATTCGGATGCCATTCAAATTGGCCAGCTGCGTGGTGCACACCTATAATCCCAGCACTCTGATAGTCTCAGCCAGGAGGAGCTCAAATTAGGGCCCAGCCTAGGCAATTTAGGAACTTTGAGATACCCTCTATCCAAAAAAAACACAAAAACATAGAAAAAGGATTGGGGACATAACAGTAGATTGATGCAGAGACTCTGGGTTTGATCTCCCCTACAAGAAGTGTATGGGAGAATATGAGAATCCTAGTTACTGAAGCAAGAGTGTCATTTCTGAGGTAGTCCTGAAAGGTCTGCAGGAGCTTGACAGAAGACATTTCCAAGCATTTGTTCTGGGCTCCTAAGCTTGAAAACTCTTCAAGGAACTCTGGCATATGTAAAAGTCATGCCCCCTGCATCTGAGCCACTTCCATCTGAACTTTGCCCTGTCCTAACCCCAAAAGAGCCTCTCCACATATACACAAAGCTGTCTACTGGCTGAACAATAATTCCTGTTAGCAACACAAAAATAGCTCTCAAATCCATTCTCATTTCTCTCTTGGGAACTGAATTCCTACTGTCTAACCATATTACACTACAGAGTCCTATCAGACTAGCAATTTCTCCTAAAGTCCCTAGAATGGGAAATGGCTCCCTCCTCTCTCCAACATGGTGCAGTGGTATGGGTAATCAGGTTCTAATCACAAGTTGCCAACAAGTTGACTGAACCCTGCTCCAAGCTATATCCCCCAAAGTCCCCAAATTCCCACGTCTTTATGGCTGTGTCTCCTAAATTCATTGTCAAAATCTACTGAAGTAGAATTCATGTCACCACTCTCCTTGGAGCCCAACATTGATATTATATGCCATATATATGTCTGTTAGAGCTGTAGACCTTTCTGACTTTCCTGAGCACTCTGTAGAATTTCCTAAATTCCACTAGCTTTCTTCTGTCTTGATGCTCCATTTTTTCCTCTTGCACTCAGTATTATAAAACCACCCAGGCTCGTGAAATTGAGCGTTGTGTATGATGCAGAACACTTCACAAACATTTTACCTTCGAGTAGCCGGTGCATACTGTAAAAACAGTATCAGTAGTGTTTAAAGAACCTCTCATTTCTTCAGTAGACTCATTTTAGGACATATACCAAAAGGAAACAAAATTATGACAGATTCCGTTTCCCTAGAGTACTGAAAAGAGTCTCTGAAGTTCTTGTTTTAGTGAAAGTCCTGGCAGATTTTACTGACAAATCTTGAAATTTAAAGCAAGCTCAGTTTTTCTTCCAGTGTCTGAGTGACAAAAGAACTGCAAAAGCAAACTTTACTTCATTTTTCTCATCCCAGCAAGACAATCGCTCCCCAGGAAAGGAATTATTATCATGAAGCAACTATAAACCACACAACCATTCTAATTGATTGAAAGAGGCAGCATTCATGGTGAAATGGGAGATCACCCTAGACACTTGAAGTAGAAGAATATACACAAAGAGGAACCAAAGTCAGGCTCCAGTTAGCATTTTAAAAGACTCACAGCACAGAATGTTCAAATAGGAGAATTCCCTCAGGTCAATGTTTGAGGTTTCTTTGCATATCTGGTTGGATATAATTTTAGTTCTAAATGAAAGCCAACATTTCCAAGATAGGAAATAAATTAAGCTACTACAAGTCCCTAATGATATAAACAATCCATTTGGATTTATGTGATAAAGCATTTAGCTGAGAACATTTTCAATCTTATTTATACTTTTAAAAAATTATCCTAACTTCTTACTTTATAACGTGCATAACATGAAAAATTATACTGGCTCAAAGCTCATATTCATTTAAATTATAGCAATTTAAATACAGAATTTCAGTTTATTTTTTGTATAGCACTAAAATAATGTAGGATTTCAACCCCATGAAAAAACTGATTCAAAATTACCATAGCTAAAAATATCTTAAAGATTCTGAACCATGCTCTCTGTTTGCTTTTTCGTCCTTTTTAAAAATCGGTCCTTACCACAGAATAACAATTTTATCTTGAATATACCTTAAAAACTAAATTATGGTAAGTTTCCTCATTTTAAAATTGAAGAAATCACAACTTAGAGAAAGTAGGTGAACTGAAAATGAAATTCAACATTGAACCCCTAATTTAGAGTCTGAAAATATTACAGCATATATATTGAGCTTTACTCTCTTGAGGATTCCCATTGCTTTCTCTCATTCTTTACTCTCTTGAAGATGCAGGCCATGTACTTGTCAATCAAAGTTAATACAGAAAAAAAGAGTAGTTGATGAGGTACAAATTATGAAAAACCAAAGCTCAGGGCCCACATGATATCTACTGGCTCCATAACAAAACATCTCAGGTCAAGATTAAGTGAATTAACTGCCACTTCAAAAAATTTTTTAAATAATAATGAAAGCATTTTTCAGAATTTATTATAGTCCTTTAGCAATATCTAGAAAAACAACCATATATGGTTCCATTCAATCCCAATAATTTTGCTCCTAGGTAACCTCATAGAACTGTCTTAACCTCTGCACTTGAGCAAAGTAAATGTACCTCCCAGCCTTCAATGTGAGACTGCCATTCCTCCAGAACTTCTAACTTCTCCATTTGTCTTTTGGCCTCATTTATGTTGGAACAGACAGCTTTCATGGCTTGGAGAGCTTCGGTCACTGCTGCATAGTCACTGTGCTTCCGTGGAGTCCGCTTCAGTAACTCCTGTTTACACACAAAGAAACCAAATTGCTCTTTGATCGTAGGTTTTCTGGGACAGCATACTAAAACCGACCAGGAAATGAAAATTACAAAGATCACGATAGCCTCTTTCTCAATGACATCACAAATTCCACTAAGATAAAGATCAGAAAAGAAAGGTCGAATGGATGAGTGTTACTCAAAGGCACATTTTGCAGTCATATTAACTTTTCACATAAATTTATTTTTTTTAAATGAAGTTACATTTCTTCTTTCAAATCATCAAATATATCACTTGGGCATGCGATTTTTTTAAGTTTGACTTTTGTTCTAACAAAACAATGTTAATATGTTCATTTCATTTTCCTGGAGTCTTTAACAGAATAAATCTTCAAATAAATATGTCCCCAAATCATAGTAATATAAATCCTTATTTTCCAATATTTTTGAGAAACTATAAAAATAGCTTCGATAAACTATAAACTAGTTTCTATATACTATATAAACTATAAACTATAGTTTCTATAAACTATAAAGAGTTAAACAAAGCAAAATCTGTAGATGTCTTACACTCCAGCAAAATAAATACTTTATTACAATTTTCACAATACTTTATCATTAGAGGAGCAATTTATACTGTTCTCATCAATTTTTTAGGTTCATTCTTTGTGATAAATGAACTAATATATATCCAATAGCTTCCTTTTTTTGTTTTTAGTGTTCAGGATTTTAGGGCGATTTTATTCATATATTTTTCTATTCAGGATATCAAAACTACAGTAATTTTTAATCTCTTAAATATATGAAGGTCTTGTTAGCTGTTGTTTAGAAGTACAAAATTAAACATCTTAACCTACTGTCTAGACAGTTGTGACCACATTACTTTTTAATTAGTCATTTGTTTCTTTACTAAGTCGCCATCATCATGAAACTAACACAATTACAAAAACCCTGAGGCGTCTCTTCAAAAGAATTCTCAAAATACAGTGGAAACTTAAGCAGTTTATTTATTTATTTATCTACTCATTTTTAGACAGGGTTTCTCTCCATGTACTTCAGGATGGCCTTGAACTCACTATGTACCCCATGCCGATCACAAACTCAGGATGATCCCCCTGCTTCAGCCTCCTGAGTGCTGGGCATGTGCCACCACACCAGGCTTTGACACAGCCAGTTCATTTACTCTCTTGAGTTACCTACTGTGGAAAATTTTCCCATTAACTTTGACCTTCCATTCAACATGTTCACACTCTGCTCTGCAGAGTTAAAGCCATAAGAATACACAAAAACCACTTCCAGAACAAGGTATAAAATGTTATGGTGGCCCACAAATCCATACAAGAGGCATTCACACTTTTCTAGAAATTCTAAGTAGTAGAAGCATTTGTAAATTATGTGAAGTCGCTAAGTCATTCTGTAGGCCAGGGGGTGGGGCCGTATGGAATACATCCAATGGGCATTTGTAGAGTTGTGACACAAATTTAGATAATGTGAAATACAAAGACAAATAGTAAAAATCTAGCAACTACTTGTGATAAGCCTGTATTGACTGGTCAAATTAATAATAGCGAGTTTCACAAGTAAGACCAACATATCTTTTTTTAATACTATAACCCAATCCCTAATGTTTTTCTCCGAATAAATAAACCCATCTAAAATTACAGAAAATCCCAGCACAACTTTTCAGCTGATGATATAAAAAAAATAATAATAACATATCTCCTGCATAACTGCATAGTTTTTTCCCTTTTTCTGTTGTAAAGATAATCCTCCTCAAAGGGGGAAGGATATCATCTCTAAACTATTTCTCTCTTGTAGGGCAAGGATGTGTCCATGATATCTTTATTTTTTTTTGAAACATCAGTTCAAATATCTGAAGCCATTCCTAATGAGAAATGAGTGGTTTACAGCAACCACTTTGCCATGATAGATTATTATTAATATTCCAACTTCTTATTCTTAGAATAAGCACAGCCCCTGAGATTAAAAAAAAAAAAGATCAGGAATAAGTACAATTAGGAATATACATGCAAACTGAGTCCTTGAGCTAGAGGTCGGTAAGAATCTTGGAAAGATACAAGTCACACTGACACTGACACTCCATACCGTCTAAAGAGTGTGCCAAATTTTTGCACTATCCAAGACTGCTATGTTAGCTTCTGTGAATGGCTTTTCATGACTTAGCCAGGCAATTTTACACTTGCTATTTTATAAGAAGCAATTCTTTCCAAATAGATTTTTTTAAATGTATGCAACTGACAGAAGCTATAGTAAAAATGTATTTCTAGTTCACATTTATAACACATCTGAAAAAGTAAATCAATAACAATACCAATTAATATGTCAGTAGTATTTTTTTTGTTTGTTTATTTGTTTTGTTTTGTTGAGACAAGGTCTCACTACATAGTTCAGGCTGGCCTTAAACTCACTATGCAGCCCAGGCTGGTTCTGAACTTGTGATCTTCCTGCCTCAGCCTCCCAAGTGCTGGGATTACAGGCATGCACCACAATGCCTAGCTAGCAATAGCATTTCTAAGTATTTTTAAGAATGAAGATGGAATTATTAATTGATATATTAAAATAAATCAATCAAATAGATATGAGTAATAAGGGCTAATATAATAGAGGACATACTATGCTAAGTGATTTCTATAAAATAGCTAAATTAATCATTTTATAATTCTATATATGCATACAAATGTGTATTCATACATATAAATGCATATATATATACATATATATACATATTCCTATAGGTATATGCTGAATTTCATCATTTTGTATTTTATAAATAAAAAACGCTTTATAGGATTAGATTATGTATCCAACTCAGAGAGCTGGTAAGCACAGTACTCGGCATTTGAACTCAGAGGTCATGTGCTCAACTAGTACCTCAAACTGACTATCCTGATGTTATACTTCGAAAAAGTATAGTTTCAAAAATTGATACACTGACCTATTCATAAAGCCCTGTAGTAATGCCAAAGGTATTATTGTACAATATATTTGTCATTATAAAAATATTGATTATTGTAATGAGAAGACAGAATGATGAGCATTAGTGAGGCTGTCTTTAAGAGTTGGTATTTTCTCAGCAATGTCATTCCACATTCTATTATTTACAGTCCCACGTGACCCATGATATTCCATTACAATAATGATTCCGAAACTAGGCTCTGAAATTATGTAATTTTGACTCTAAGTTCATTAGTAATATAAATTTACTGAAGTTTGAGAAATGAAAAAACATACTGACAATGAATTTACTTAAAATAAAGGACCCTATTGCTACAGTGCCACATAAAATAATCATAATGGACTTAACAGGATCTCTCTTGAAACTAATGCTTTTATTCTGAATGAAACTCAAGTATGTTTTCTACAAAGAGCACTAAAAGCTCATTTTACTGGCTTTTTCACTAAAGATTTGCTTTCTACTCTATAGATAAATGTGTGACAAAGTAGCCATTTTCCAAATAATTATAATCTGCCATTTTTTTTTTAGAATGTCAGACTCTAAATAACTCTTTCAAAAGATCATCAGAAAAATATATGATTTCAAAGCAAATGCTACAATGTAGTAGCACATAAAATACCTTCAAAAGGAGAGGGTACTTGCATATCCTTTGTATGGGCGTTACCAAGTAGCCTTCCAGGGGAACATCTGTGTTTTTTCGTCCTCCAAGCAGCATGCAGTTCTGGGTGAAAATAAACATAATCAAGTACAGTACATTTTTCAAATCTGAGGCTGTTTAACTTCTATCATAAAAGTTTATACTGAAAAATCATGAAAAGAAATGTTCTTACATACTTTCTCTAAGAAGAGCATACTGTTTCCAGTCACAAATAGCACTTATAAAGAGCCTTTCATATTGGTTACAGAACCCAAAATACATGTTGGATCTATAAAAATGACTTCACAAATATTCTCTGAAGTTTGATATATGAGGGAAAAGGTAAATATAGAGACAAATAGTAATGATAAAGAGATGGAGAGAGGGAGGAAGGGAGGAAAGGAGGGAAAGGAAGGGAGGGAGAGAGAGATTTCATTCATAAAAACCAGTACCTTATGTTGTGGAAGAGCAGGTATAAAGACAATTAGGTTATAACTTCAAACCAAGCTCTGCCATTGACCAGTGATATGCCTTGGACTGATTTCAGAATTCTAGTTTTCATCTGTGTAAAACTGCCATGTTTTAGCCAAGTGATCTCTAAGTCACACTTCATTAAAGACCTCAGGAAGCCAGTCTCAGAGAAGGAGGCCAGAAAGGATTTCTACAGTGACCAAGTGATTACAGAAATATAAAAACCAGCAAATATGGACAGGTGAGACTGAAGGAGCTTCTACTGACCATAAAGTAGTGGTCAAGAGAAAATTAAGTCACACAAATAACGCTTTTGTCTTCCTAAACAATGCAAAGAGACTTGAAAGAAACTTGCCCAAATCTTGTTTCTTTAGTGGCTTTCAGACTGACTGCCATAGAAGGAATACTTAAAATCTAATGAAGGGAGAAGAGGGCCTCTTTAAAGGTAAACTGATACATTAGCACTTTCTATACCACTATTTTAAAATATTGTTATATTCATTGAGGAGAGAGGCCAAGTGCTGAGTAAGACAGGATATGACAGGAAGACCAATGGTGCAAAACAATCTGCTCTCCTATCCTGGGAAACTCAGTATGGCCTCAAGTCAGCAAAACAAAAGCCACGAAGGTAACTTCACCCAGATACCTTGGAAAGCAGAGCAGCAAATGCCATTTTCTTACTCAGCATGTTCTTTGGGAGCTTCTTTCCCTACTGCAATCAGATGATCAAAATATCTTCAAGGTATGTATTGTATTTTCCCCCAGAAAAATCTTTAAAAACGCAATTATCTAGATTTTATCTACATATTTCCAGTGATATTTCAGGATCCCAACATGACTTAGCACTCTTATCAATATGGTCATTACCTACCTAGCTCTAGGCTGAAGAGCCATAACAAAAGAACATAGAACCACCCAAACCATTTCAATTCCTTTGTATTATATAGATTATAAACTCTTTTCATGATGGCAGATGTTGGTCACTATCTTAGATTGCCTTAGAATCACAAGCTATAATAATAATAATAATAATAATACATACATACATACATATATACATATGGAACATGCTTCCTAAATAAGCTTCCAGAGATTTTACTTATCATAAAACTTACTATGGCCACAGCATAACCAAACTTGGTCAGCTTAGAGATACTTGGCCGTGTGGATCTGTACAAAAGACCAAAGAAAGTCCCACGTGATTCAGGACGTGAAACCTGAATCAACTTGCAAACTACCTGACTTTTGACTCACACTCAGATCCATGGAAAAGACAGATAATAATGTTTGAATACTTTTGACAAACCCCTGGCTGACTATAAGGTAAGCAGTCACAAGAGTGATTCCTAACAAGCAAAGCTAAATTAGAAAAATAAAATTATAAAAATAAATAAGAAGAGATATCATCAGTTTCACATATAAGACAGATTTTTAGGTTAAGTTTGAGCAATTTACTAAAAACAAAAGAGAATAAACAAACAAACAAAAAATAGTAACTAACCTCAGGTAGAAAATATAGAATCCAGAATTGCTACAGAAATGTTTAACTGTCCAGCTTATAATAAGAAATTACGAGATACACAAAGGAACAGGAAAATGTGATTCACACATAGTCAAAAAAAAAACCACAAAAAAACCTCAGAATGTACCATTGTTGGATTTAGAAAAAAAAGAATTCAAAATAGCTATTATAAGTATGTCCAAGGAATACACTGAGCCCTGTTTTACAAACTGAAAAATAATACAATGATAATGCATAAACAAATAGGAAATCTCAATAGAGAATTAGAAATTTAACTAAATCAAATACACATGAGATGAAATAAATAATTCACTAGTTAGGATAAACAGCACATTTGAGATGGCAGAAAAAATACTCAGTGGAATTGAATATAAACCAATGGAAATAGTCCAATTTTCTTTGAAAATATTCAAAACAGAGAGTAAAAAATGATGCATTATGTAAAATATAAAAACAATGTAGCAAATACCTTCTCATCATTCAGAAGCAATGGATGCCATGATCAATATATAATGGAATATTTAAATTTCTGATCAAGAATTCTATAGCCAAGGGCCAGGGATTTAGCTCAGTGGTTCCGCCACCTGCCTCACAAGCACAAGGACCCGAGTTTGATCCCTGGTACCAAAACAAAACAAAACAAAACAAAGAATCCTATAGCCAATAAAATTATCCTTCAAAAATGAAGGCAGAGTAAAGATATTCCCAGATAAAGAATCAGAGAAGCCAATGCTAGAAGAAATCTCTTATAAGAAATTAAGATTATTCTTCAGATTAAAAGATTATAATGTCAGAGTAAAATGTACTAGAAGACATAGGCTAGAAATGGTAAACAGGTTAATATTAAAGACTGTACAAAAATATAATAAAGTTATACCACTGTGTTTCAGGGTTCACAATACATAGTTTGATATGTATGGCCATAAGAACACAATGGAGGAAGGAGGAAACGGAACATTTTCCATATCCACATAAGAAATACTATAACAAAATACCCTCTATATCTTACTGGAATTAAGTCAATAGTAATAGAAAATGAACTTGATAAGACACATATTGTAGTTTATAGAAAAAATTATTTTCATTATCCTTAAACAATATAGTTTACAGGATCAATAGAGGGATAAAGTGGTACACTAAAATTATCTGTCTGACAAAAGTAAATAGGAAAAGAGGTGCAGAGAATCAAACCAAGAAGATACATAACAAAAAATTACAAAATTATACATATAAATACAACTGTATCAATAATGACATTAAAGGCAAACAAACTAAACTCTCTAGTCAAAAGGCAGACCTTGTCAGCCTAAAGAAAAAGCAAGACTTAACAGTGTCTATGAAAAATATTTCAAAGATCATCACGAGTTTGTAAGAAAAATAAAGAATAAAAACAAAATTACCAGTAGTAAGATGGCTATCACTTCCATAATGACATCAGGAAAAACAGACTTTAACAGAAAAAATAGCACTAGGGACAAAGAGGGGCATTTCATAATGATAAACAGAAACAGTAATACACAAGTATGAAGGTTACATATCTTAAAACAGAGCTCCAAAACACATAAAGCAAAAACCGACAAAGTTGAATCGTGAAAAAGACAACAATTATATTTGGAAGCAATATCTCTCTTTCAATAATGTGATGATTGATAATATCACTAATAAGTTCTAGCTTTAATTCATTTGAATAATATTCATATCATAATATACATAAATCACAACTTTAAACACTTACATTAGAAAAGAAAAAAGTCATAAAAACTTTCAATGAACTAGAAATACATTAAAACCTAAAAAGGATGTCTACAAAAAAACCTACAGTTTATAAGGACTGAATGTTTTTCCCCTAAGACCAGAAACAAGGCAAGTGCATCCACTCTTAGCACTTCTACTGAACACTCCACTGAAGGTTCTAGCTAGTACCAAAAAACAAGAAACAAATTATGGCATTCATAATGGGAAAAAAAAAGAAGTAAAACTGTTTTTATTTTCAGATAACATGATCCTGTATGTAAAATATCCCAAAGAATCTACAAAAGAATTATTGGAACTAATATGAATTTAGATTAGAGGATAAAAGGTCAATCAATATTCAAAACTCAACTAAATATATATATAGCAATGAACAACCCAAAAATGACATTAAGATAACTCCAAACACAATAACATCAAAATAATAAAACACTCAGAAAAAATAAGTTTAAGATCTGATTACAGATTTCTTAAATATGATAAAAGAACCATCATAATGGAAAAAAATTAATAAATTAAATTTCATCAAATTTTAAAACTTTTAATTTTCAAAGATAGCATTTTTTTAAATGAGCAGATAAATCACAGTAGGAAGAAATATCTAAAAACTGTATTTTAGATAAAGCATCGAAAACAATGAACACTGAGAGCTCAGTATAAGGTCAGCACTCCAATTTAAAAATGGGCAAAAGATTTAAATAACCATTTCACTAAAGAATATATATGATAAGCTAATAAGGAACATGAAAGCATGCTTATAATCATTAGACATCAGAAAAACGCAAATTTAGACCCCTCCGTGATACCACCACACACCCACTAGTATGGCTATAATCAGAAAAAATGGTAACACTAAGTCTTGGCAAAGATATATAGAAACTACAATCTTCCTACAGAGCTAGCAGAATAAACACTAAAAGAAAACTTAGACTATGATCTAGTAATTTCACTCTTAGTATCTACCCAAGAGAATAAAACTTTATGTCCACACAGAAGCTCTGCATGAATGTTCATACAGCATTATTTATGAAAAATATCATAAACTAGACTGAGCCCTAATGTTTATTAATTGAAGAAGAGATAAAATATGCTAAAGCCACACAATGAAATGGTATTCATTTGTTTAAATGAATGGAAAATGGACACATGCTCTAAGGATGAGCCTCAGAAACACTTTACTAAAAAAGGAAATTAGGCCCCAAAATTATATTGCATAGCTCTATTTATACAAAATACCCAGAAAGGCAACTCTATAGAGATGAAAGCAAATCAGTAGTTGCCTGGAGCAAACAGTGGGAGGAAACATGGGCTGTAAAGAGACTTGAGAGATATTTTTCAGGTGAAGGAAATGTTCTAAAATTAGATTTGGGAGATGGTTGTGCAGCTCCAGAAATATCATGGAACCGTGAACTTATATTGTGGTCCTCACTGTCAGTTAGATTGTCTAAGGAACTGCCAAAATATATGTTTATTTGTGCTACCTCAAAAAATTATATATATTCTTGCTATTTTCAGGAAAATTGAATAAGAAATGTATGTAGGAGAAATGTCAAACTACATTTATTTTCTCCCATAACCATGATTTGCATCTTTCCTCTTTCTGCCCTACTTACAGCTCTTTTAGCAGAAGTAAATGAAGTCCTGAGGAGCTGAGGATATAAAGCAATGATGAACTCTGTCAGGCGTTCTTCACTCATAGGAACCCATGGGATCTTGTAAGCAATTCATAATCAGCCAGGAGAGGGCATTAGCAGTATTTCCCCATAAATGAGCTTAAGCCAGCTCTCACTTCCCAGATTTATCAAAGGACTCTAGCTTTCTAGCCTGCATATGATAAAAGTTACAGTACCTCACGAACAGCTTTTATACCACGTTGATGCTACTCCTTGATTCTTACTGGGCCTGTCGACAAATATCAGCATATGATAACACATAAATATGTACTTACCAAAAGAAATGTCCGAATTGTTCTTATTTTGTTAAGTTCAAGAAGCAATTTTTGTGCTTTTTCATGGTTACTACAATATTCATCATAGATACGAAACTTATCTTTCTGCAAATTCAAGACAGAATAAATTAATCACTTTATTCATTTTGAAATTTTAACCTGTCGGTATATATAAACTTTACTGTTTACTATCTCTCAAAAACTATACTGTAAATATTTATTTTCTTATTTATTTATTTTCCCTGATCCATAAAGAGTAGTCTTGAAAAGGAGAAAGACATATAAATTTTACTCCAATATGATGAATGCAATAATAGATAAATGAAGCAAGTGGTGGTAAAGAATAGAGAGCAATGAGCTGTTCTTCGAGACCACAGACACAGCTTTTAAAAACATGTTACTTCTGTACAAGGTCCAGTGGATAAACCCATGATACCTGGCAGGAAGAGGGAAGAAAGCCATGTTAGGTCAAGGGAAAGTCATGTGCCAGATCATAAAGGGACAACAGAACATAGGACCCTGCAGTTCACGGACACCAATTCGGATGGTGTCCTTAAGAGGAACACTGACAAACAGAACAATATAAGGCAACAAGTGGCTAAGATAATGACACCCTCTGAGGACACGGTAAGTGAGCGGTCATTTCAGAGAGAGATAATTCTTAGTATAGAAAAGTCAGGGAATAGTAGCTACTTTCAAATAGCTGTTATGCTGCAAAAGGTTGCTGAGTCTACGTAGCTTCAAACATAAGACTAATACCATTAGGTGGGAATTGTAAAGGCAGTGATGGGCAGATTTTGGATCAATACAAAGATCTTCTAATCACTAGAGCTATCATAAAAGTGACCAATTAGGAACAAAATAAATGGTTTTCATAAACAAAAGGAAATCTTTCCAAAAGAAAAGAGTTTTATCATCATCTCTATGCTACCTTCCATTTGTAAAAGTTTTCTCAAAATGGTTATGATTAATAACTAGCAGAATAAAAGAAGACAGAATATTTATTGATCAAATATTAAAACTACCCTTTGAAATTTCAAAGGCATGTGTTTAGAACATTAAGCACTATTGTATACAGGCAGCAAAGAATGTATTGAATGACTTATCTCAAGGGGTTGTACGAGCCACATAAAAACAAACTTCAGAAATGGTTTAGCTAAATTCATGGATGACACATTTACAATGTGTTACTAAGAAAATGACTGTCAGACTGCAAGATTCCCATACGCAACCCTGGCCTTGGATAGCAACAACTCCAACTGGCAGAGGATTCTGATTCTTTCTTGAAAAGGAACAGGCTTCTGTAAATGGACACAAACACCCATGGCTTCCAGCCACACCCAAGAAAGCACAGTTCAATCTTCCTATACCCAAGAAGCCTCTCTCTTTAATATAATTATCTTTCTAGAACATTTTCTGATAATTAAAAGAACATATACAGAGCCTGGTCATCATTTATAGATAGAAAACTACACATGAAAACCTTTATGAAAGATGAAGTGGAAAATAAAAATATACAAAGTTTGATTACTGTGACATAATACATATTTTTAAGTAAAATGTTCATTGTATTGCATTTCGATAAATACATGGATTTAAAATGGTACTCTGAAAAATAGCATTAAGGGAATGATATAAATGGTAGCATTCTTTTTCATTTTCTTTTTTTAGTATGAATGCCCTTTAGTTTTGGAAACAATGTTGATTATACAGGTGGCATCTTTCTTTGCAACTCAATTGCATAAATAATTTCAGCTGTAGTGTATAAAGAATGATATGAAAATTATCACAGGTCTGGGACATATAATTTGTGACCACTGAGCACCACCTCCTATGGTTTCTGCCCTGCTCAGTACAACCCTCTGAGAAGCTACCCTTGAGAAAAATTCAGACACAACCATACTGAGTTTGTTCACCTCCAAGTCTGTCACAAGCTGATTAACAAGAGAACATTCTGACTATTAAAAGGCTTGTCATGCCATTATAACAGTGAGGATTTTCTGCTTCAAAAGAAAATGCTCTATGTTTGAGAGAAACATAAAAATCTATTCATTCTGAACAGCCTGAATATTCATTAGAATTCAAAGCTACAGAGGATGCGAAGAACTAGCTCGTTGGGAAAGAGAAAAGGCTGTTCATTCTTCACTGAGTAAAATGGATGATGTGGGACACTCTGCCTTTTCTGTCTTGGAGTACAAGATCTAACTGGCCTTAAAAGACCCCAAACTTCTGGTGTCAGATTTTACTTCTAGCACTGAACTCATACTTTTTACAATGCCAAGAGCTAGATCTTAAAATCAGGGGGAAAAAACTCTTAAAATAAACAAATTTATCCTACAAAGTGAAGAAAGCAGGTTCCCACTTCTTGTTGAGCATTAGGTTCAGGATGTAAGCATTCTTCTACAACTTTTAAGAATTCTTTATGTACTGCAAGGATATCTTCGATGTTCGAAAACAACATCTGTGAAAAAAAATACACATGTAAGTGCAGTAGTGAAGCAAGTAAAATAAAATTTAAAAATGTCTATAAGAGTCCAGTATTCTCTCTCCAAACTGAAAAATTTCAGTCAGTAGCTATGCTAAATTCATTCTTTCCTCTCGCCTTGCTGACAGAAGCCAAATTTTGTCCACTCCCACAAAACTTTGGGGACCAGGACACTTCACCTGGTTTCTAAGACAAAGCCTGGGTGGCCAAATCCAAGCATGATAGTCCCACCCCAGTTCCAGGGTGATCTTCAGGTAAAACTGCATACAAATTTGCTGGCAGGCTTTTGGAGAAGGGTGTCTGCCCCTAGGAAAGGCATCCTGGAACACACAGTCCTTTTCTCCTTCCAAAAAGCGCTGTGTGGGAGTGACAGCTGGGACAACTATGAGGTCACTTTGCAGCCAGGGGAGGAGCCAGCTCAGGGGCAAAGCTGATACCCTGGAGGGCAGAGTGAATCACTGGAGAGGATCTAGCAACTTGTTGGCCTCCCTGAATCACCTGTGGGGAACCTCATCTTTCATCTGGAGTTCAAATATGTGAATCAAATAGTCTTCAAGTCTGTTTGGATTATAAATTGCTTTTGCTTGTTTCCATAAGCTCATTAACTAAAATATTCCCATAGTAATTGTGAAAGTTGAATATTTAACTCATGAGGAAATAGAGTCAGAAAAACCTTTAGTTTTTTTTTTACTTGCAGTAAAATAGAGCAGTAAATTAGCATCATCAATATCAATGATGATTTAAACAATTTAAATAATCACTATGGGATAATTTTTATTTGTCATGCTCTTTAAAATTTTTCCTATGTTTTGTGTGTGTGTGTGTGTGTGTGTCTGTGTGCATGTGTGTATGTGTATGTGTGTGTGTTGCTAGAGATCAAATCCAGGGCCTCGCACAGTGGGAATCTCTGCTGTATCACTGGCCAACCCTCTTCCCCACACTTTAAACGATATGTTATATATTTGCTTCTGAATTGAAGATATATGGACTTTCTTTCCTGCAGCTCATGGACCATTCAAGTCCTGTTCTTTTGCAACCACAAAGACTGGAAGTCCAGATTTGCCCACCTCCTACCACTAGGCCAATTTTCTGACACCTCATTCAACATTCTCCCTCTCATAGAGGCTGAAGTTAGGTCTCATTTCTTAAGTTTATTTTTCTTCCTTTTTTCAAACATTTTCAAGACCTTGGTTAAAAAATTCTCTAGACTTACATGCCTCTTCTAACTTCCCTTTCTGTTCCCAAACCCTGGCCCCTTTTTCATGTTATTACTGACACAGTGACTGGCCCAGGAACTTAATAGTGGTACTGAAGAGAAACGGAAAGTTCCTGCAGGAATGTCCCACAGGTAACATGTCATCTCTGGGAACTCATCCTTGGGACAAGGGCCCCTTGCACATCCTCACCTTCACCGTTTCCTCTGTTACATTCTTGTCAACTTTTGCTGCTGCACACTGGTTCATTCGGTGTAAGAATGCCTGTGTGAACCAAGAAAAGCCATAATAAAAATGACATTAGATTCATAAAATGACCAGGTGTTGACCAGATCTAGATTAATTTTTTACATGAAAAAGTTTAAAAATCCAATACCTGAGTAAAATAGTTATGTTTTAATATGTGAGCCCTTGTGCAGAGCTGCTCATCCCTGAGAGTTACACTTACTTATGATGCTAAGCCAGAGTCAAAAGTCATCATCTCTACAAATTAAATTTTATCCACTAGGCTTCCACAGTTCTGGGGTAAAAATTTAATGGCAGGTGTTTCCTAAACTTTTAAGCATTGCAAAGCACAAAATCACTGGAATCTAATAAAATGCTATTTCTAATAGAAAAGTAAAATGGTAGAAATTTTGAAGTGACTCCCTTAGAATTAAGAGAGTCATAGAAACAGAGAGAAAAAGAGAGAGAGAGAGAAAGAGAGAGAGAGCCAGATAGGATACATACAAACATATACAATGTGGTCAACAAATACAGTAAATGGTTAAATTTCTTACAAAATTACGACAGGGAAAGACATATTGCTATGAATCCCCCTCAAAGTACTTCCCCTCACTTCAAACACACGTCATTCTTGCCATTTTCTGAAGCAGTTTGAGAAGTACTTTTTCATGAGGGTCTTTAGTTGTCCTGTCCTGCTGTCCTGGCTGCCTCAGTGTGCTGAATCAAATCAAAACATTTACATTTCATGGTCCTTTTGACTTGAGGAAGAACTAGAAGTCACAAAGTGCCAGAACCAATGAATAATGTGGATGAGAATACACCATAGTGTTTTTATTTGACAGAAACTACCGTCCTAGAAGTGATGTGTAAAAACAAAAAAACAAAACAACAACAACAACAACAAAAAGATTTTATACGCCCTTGCGCTAGGGATTTAGCTCAGTGGTTCCACCACTTGCCTTGCAAGCGCAAGGACCCAAGTTCGATCCCCAGTACCAAAAACAAAAAGATCTTATAGAAGTGACATGTGACATACAGTGTTGTCAAGATGGAGAAAGAAACTGTTCATTCCTCAGGATGTTTCCTACACACATCATTTCTGTCAAATAAAGCACCTTAATCGCTATTTAAATAGCTAGGGATACAGCTCAGTGGTAGAGTGGTTATCTAGCATTCACAAGGTCCTGGGTTCAATTCCCAGCAGCAAATGGGGGGAAAAAAACCTGAGACGTCTTGATGGTCATTAAGCTTTGACAGAGTACACTGAGCTTTAAAAGAGAAAATTTGCAAAGAACAAATAAAGAGACCTTCCATCCAGCAAATCTGGTCTACATCCTCAAGATACCATCTATTAATTACACAGTGGCAAATAAGATCATTCCTGGGGTTGGGATGTCCTTCAGTGGTCTTCAGTGGTATCTCTAGTATCCTTTGCTGGCCTTGCAATAAGGTCTGTCCTAGGTCTATCCTCGCGATCATTCTTTCCCTCATCTCTCCTCAAAAGTTAGCCACTACCTGCCAAATCAGGGTATGAGTGCGTAGTCCATCAAATCCCCAGGACATATGGAAGCACGGATAAATCTCTGGCTACTAAAGCAAACAAATGAAAATCAAGATAGGAACCATATCTTTGACATGTTATATTTACTAAGATTTAAAATATTAACTGCCAGGTATAGTGGCACATGCCTATAATCTCACCAACCGGGAGGCTGAGGCAGTGGAGTAGCTTGAGTCCAGATTAGCCTGAGCAACATAGGGAGGTCCTGTCTCAAAGAAACAAATCAAAACAATATCTCAGGTTGAAACATTTGAGAGATTAATAAAATCCAAGATTGTTCATAAGGTTCCAATGCCTCAAGGGGTTGCTAATAAGAGTATAAAATGGCACATTTCTCAGAAAAAGTTGACACTATATTTCAAAATTTTAAATGAGCATTTCCTGTAACTCAGCAATTCTACTTCCAGGAATTTATCCTAAGAAAATATTTGGACAAAGAGTTTCACAGTATTAATCAAAAAAATAGAAAAACTGGAAAAAACCTAAAGTCTACTAATAAGGGAATCATTAAATAAATTATGGCACATTTAAATTATAGGATGCTATGGCTATGGAAAAAGTATGATCATAATGGACTGTGATGAAATCTAGTAAGTATATATACACATGTACATGACAAAAGTTCACAAAATATTGTTTGGTAAAAATAATATACTAAGTGGCACACCTCACAGGTACACACACACAGGTACCTTCACATGTAAATGTATATACAATACATTTACACATATGTATAACGTCAGTGTGTTTCAACTGACAAAACCTAACATATACCAAAATGCAAACAGTGCTTTCCTCCATGTGGTAAGAAGATCTTTGCACACCTTTTTTTCAGAATATTTGGCTATGAGTATATTACAACTTTTGCTTTTTAAAAATTTAAAAGCTTTAAAACTATTTTTAAAAAATCACATACATGAGCCACAAGATCTCACTCCTAACATGAGCTTCAGCAACATCTTTATTCTCAATTATTCAATTTGTGTTTCAGATTCCATAAAGACAAACCCAAATAAAAACTAACAGCTGCAACTCCTCATCACCAGCTGAATTCAATAAAATGAATAAGGAAGTGTTGGATGTAACCTAATTTTTTATTGGAATCGTGATCTATAACTATTATCTGAAGTTATATATAATTGGCTATGGAAAAAGATTTTGAGCATTCCGATTTTAAGCCTCCAATTTAATTAATATTATTCTGCTTAATTTTTTATTTTAGCTTTGTTACTTTTGAGTATTATCCAAATACTCATACCACAAATGCTTTTTAGATCTATTTAGTTTTAAAATAACAAGGATGGTTTACTTGACTAGTTTACATTTTATGTTGACCACATAGTAAACAGGTAATGTCTTGTGCAAGCGAAACTTAAACTTCACCTCTAGAATTATAAACCTTTCCTTCATAAACAGAACTTAGTTACATTCTGCAACCAATAAATTAAAGCTAGGAAGTTGTAAAAGTGAGTTAAAAAGGAACATAAAGCCAATAAAGTACATCACATCTTTATCTGAATTTTTTATCTTTTTATCCTCCATAACAATATGGAATATTTTGTTTAACTGTACACAAAAGAAACCCTGGAACTTGCTACTACGTCTGACCAGGTATTTCTTTTTCTCGGGAGTCTCATTTATACCACAATGAAGGCAGATTTGAGATGGTTTGCTGGGAATGTCCAATCATGAAAACTGTTTGACATTTTTACAAAACATTTAATTTTCTTCCTGAAGATAAAAACAAATAACATTTTCAGAATTCACCTTTTACAATCATGATCTACAGAGTCCTTTAAGATTTTGGTAATTGGGCATTTAATTCTTCTCATGTCAGTGATGGAAGCATTAGTAACCTAGTCACAAAAATACATGAGAGACTACATATAGTTTAACCCTACATTAGGTTGTTCCCACTGGTCTACAGTTTTACCACAATTTGACAATCTTCATCTTGACACAAACATTTGAAAATAAGCACTGGAAAATAGCTTCTAAGGACAGTGGTTCTCAGGGCTTTTATTGTGTATAAGACTTGGAGAGTTTCTTCTACATGCAGATTTCAAACCCTATTTCTCAAAAGCCTGATTTAGCCAATTGGTTTAGGATCCAGAAATCTGCATTCTGAGTACATTTCCTAGGTGACTTCGACATATCTTCAAGACACAACCCTCTGGTGATCATTTCTTTTTATTTATTCTTCCAAACATTGAAAGAGGAAAAAAAAACAAATTTACAGATTTACGGGGAAAACAAGTTCATTTATTTCTCTTTGATTTTCAACTCCAAGTCAAATAATGTTTATCTCTGTACATAACCCTTCCACCCAGTCACTTGGAGTTTCTGGTACCCAGCCAGAGAAGCCACCCTCTCCCCATAAAAATCACAATCTGGCCTATGTGCACTGGTCATGTTGCTTTCTGAAGGCCAAAGAGATGCAGACAGGCAGGGGAGATACAATAGGTTAAGTTTTATATGGAGAAAGAGACTGGCAGATGCTCTTCTGAGAACCTTTCTGCTCACACACGTGTCAGTCTGTGCTGGTTCACCAGATTCCCCTATCAGCAGTTGCACACAACATAGTGCTGTTGGCTAACACGCTTGTCATAGGCTACTTGTTTTCCCATTCAGAAAGCAGAACCCTTTATTTTCTCTTTAACTTGATCCCTATTGTTTCCCTCCTTTGTAATTGGAAAAAGAATGTTAAATGTCATACACTAAAATTTAGTAACACTAAAAATATCACCAATCTCGTGTCAAGAGATCAAAAGAAGGAACTCGTTATGTTGGAAGAGGAAGATGACAGCAATGTCATCTGCCCATTTGTGCCGCTGCTAGTTCATTTGTAAAGCAAAGCTTATCATGCTTCATTTTCAAAATACATTTTCTTATTTTATAATTTAATGTTATAAATCTACAGTTTCTCTACTTGAGTTTGCCCTTCCCACTCTTTTCATCAGTCGGGCACACATACAGTAGTAGATCATTCTCCCACAGATTTTAAAAGTTTACACTTTTGATTCTTGACATCTGGTGCCAATGTGAATGTCACAGTATCACATAGGCACTAAACTTTATTACTTCTACTAATATTTTATATTAGCAGTATTCTGTCATTATGAAAATGTAGCTATTTAATATGTACATGATGAGAAGAGAAAATTTCAAGAGAGACTTGAATGTTGCAGGAAAAAGTACATTCATTTTATATAGGTTATACACCTATCCCTACCCCTAACTCTGACAGTTATATCTTTCTTCCAAATATTGATATATTTCATTATATCACAATATATTTCATTCACATCACAATTATCAGTATCAGTATCCAGCTCATTAGAAAAATCTTTAAGTTTAGGAAGCTGTCAAGTTCACAGAGATGGAAACAAATATTTCAAAACTCAGAAGTTCACTTAAAAGTTAAAGTCTGTGATAGTCAACAAATATAGTCAGCTGTTTTTCTTAAAGTGACAGGCTC